CTGCAGCAGAGGGGCCTGACTGTAAGGAAAACTAATTAAAAAAAAAAAAAAGGAATAGTATCAACATCAACAAAAAGGACGTCCACTCAGATACCCCATCCAAAGGTTACCAACATCAAAGACCAAAGGTAGATAAATCCACAAAGTTGGGGAGAAACCAGCATAAAAAATTTCAGGCCAATATCCCTGATGAACATTGATGTGAAAATTCTCAATAAAATATTGACAAACCAAATCCAGCAGCACATCAAAAAGCTTATCTACCACAATCAAGTCGGCTTCATCCCTGAGATGCAAGGCTGATCCAATATACGCAAATCAATAAATGTAATCCATCACATAAACAGAACCAATGATAAAAGCTACATGATTATTTCAATAAAGGCAGAAAAGGCCTTCGACAAAATTTAACAGCCCTGCATGCTAAAAACTCTCAATAAACCAGGTATTGTTGGAACATATCTTAAAATAATAAGAGCTATTTATGACAAACCCACAGCCAATATCATACTGAATGGGCAAAAACTGGAAGCATTCCCTTTGAAAACCGGCATAAGACAAAGGATGCCCTCTCTCACCATTCCCATTCAACATAGTATTGGAAGTTCTGGCCGGGGCAATCAGGCAAGAGAAAGAAATAAAAGGTATTCAATTTAAAGAAAAAGGAAGTCAAATTGTCTCTGTTTGCAGAAGACATGACTGTTCATTTAGAAAATCCCATCCTCAGCCCAAAATCTCCTTAAGCTGATAAACAACTTCAGGAAAGTCTCAGGATACAAAATCAATGTGCAAAAATCACAAGCATTCCTATACACCAATAATAGACACACAGAGAGCCAAATCACAAGTGAACTCCCATTCATAATTGCTACAAAGGGAATAAAATACCTAGGAACACAACTTACAAGGGGTATGAACACAACTTACAAGGACCTCTTCCTTGAAGAGGTCCTACAAACCACTGCTCAAGGAAACAAGAGAGGATCAAACAAATGGAAAAACATTCCATGCTCATGGATAGGAAGAATCAATATTGTAAAAATGGTCATACTGCCCAAAGTAATCAGTAGATTCAATGCTATCCCCATCAAGCTACCATTGACTTCCTTCACAGAATTAGAAAAAAAAAGAAAAGAAAAAACTACTTTAAATTTCATATGGAACCAAAAAAGAGTCTGCATAGCCAAGAAAATCCTAAACAAAAAGAATAAAACTGGAGCCATCACACTACCTGACTTCAAACTATACTACAAGGCTACAGTAACAAAAACAGCATGTTACTGGTACCAAAACAGAGATATAAACCAATGGAACAAAACAGAGGCCTCAGAAATAACACCATGCAGCTACAACCATCTGATCTTTGACAAACCTGACAAAAACAAGCAATGGGGAAAGGATTTCCTGTTTAATAAATGGTGTTGGGAAAACTGACTAGCCATACGCAAAAAGCTGAACCTCGATCCCTTCCTTACACCTTATACAAAAATTAACTCCAGATGGATTAAAGACTTAAACATAAGACCTAAAACCATAAAAATCCTAGAAGACAACCTAGGCAGTATCATTCAGGACATAAGCATGGGCAAAGACTACATGACTAAAACACCAAAAGCAATGGCAACAAAAGCCAAAATTGACAAATCAGATCACATTAAAGAGCTTCTACACAGCAAAAGAAACTATCATCAGAGTGAAAAGGCAACCTACAAAATGCAAGAAAATTTTTGTAATCTCTTCATTTGACAAAGGGCTAACATCCAGAATCTACCAGGAACTTAAACAAATTTACAAGAAAAAAACTGCCCAGTGCTCCAGTGCAGGAAAGAAAGTGCCATTCTCAAATTTTGTACGTTTTCTGAGAGTGAATCTGTCAGGTTCCACTGCATATATTAAATTCAACAAATTTGGTGAATAGAAATAAACAGGAAAAGAACCGAAGAGCTGATATTTGCACTTGATGAATATCAAATGCATTTCCACTGGGTGCCAGTGGGAAACGTGATAAACACCAAACTATCCAACTTGGGACCGTGAAGGTGGGCCTTTGTTGAGGAAGGACCTACTGTTGACTTTGTGATATATAAGACAGGTCTCAGTTAATTTAGAAAGTTTATTTTGCCAAGGTTGAAGACTCAAGCCCATGACACCGCCTCAGGATGTCCTGAGGACGTGGGCCCAAAGTGGTTGGAGCACAGTTTGGTTTCACACATTTTAGGGAGACATGAGACATCAATCAACATATGTAAAATGAACTTTGGTTTGGTAGAAAAGATGGGACTAAAACCGGGAGGGGGTTTCCAGGTTACAGGTAGATAAGAGACAAGTGGTTGCATTCTTTTGAATTTCTGATTAGCCTCTCCAAAAGAGGCAATCAGATATGTATTTATCTTAGAGAGCAGAGAGGTGAATTTGAATAGAATGGGAGGCAGGTTTGCCATTCTCAGCTTGACTTTTACTTTTAGCTTAGTGATTTGGGGCTCCCAAGGTTTATTTTCTTTTCATCACAGCTTTTCCCTTAAACTTGCCAACTCCAGTAACTTGGCCAAGAAAAAGATGAGCTGCCTCTGAGCTGCCAATACGCTACTTTCTATGCAACCCCCTGGGGCTGCCTCTTCCTGTACAAACAATGTCATAAACTACATTACGTTCCACAGTAGCTCACAAAATCTACCTTTTCTTTTTTTTTTTTTTTGAGACGGTTTCGCTCTTGTTACCCAGGCTGGAGTGCAATGGCGTGATCTCGGCTCACCGCAACCTCCGCCTCCTGGGTTCAGGCAATTCTCCTGCCTCAGCCTCCTGAGTAGCTGGGATTACAGGCACATGCCACCATGCCCAGTGAATTTTTTTTTTTTTTTTTTTGTATTTTTAGTAGAAACGGGGTTTTACCATGTTGACCAGGATGGTCTCGATCTCTTGACCTCATGATCCACGCGCCTCAGACTCCCAAAGTGCTGGGATTACAGGCTTGAGCCAAAATCCACCTTAATAAAGCTGTTTGTTTACTTTGTATATTTGCTGTAAAAACCAGCAGAAAATACCCCAGTATTTTATACACTGCATTTCAACAGACAAATCATTAACAAACTTTTGTAAGATCAGCCTGGGCATTCGCTTTCTATGATTTTTCTAAGAATTTTATAATTTTAGCTCTTACATTTCGGAAAATGCAATCCTAGTTCCCAACTAACATATAAATGAATGTTTGGTAAATGGGTTCTTTGTAAACTGGGAAATGACTATGATTTTTAAATGTATCTTTCAATCTATATTCAGCTTTATGTGCCTAGGAGTATATGATCGTGTTCTCTAATATCTGCCATGTTATCAGTGTTAAATAAGCTTTTAAAAGGGCCAGATGCAGTGGCTCACACTAATAATCCCAGCACTTTGGGAGGCAGAGACGGGCAGATCACCTGAGATCAGGAGTTCAAGATCAGCATGGCCAACATGGTGAAACCCTGTCTCTACTAATAATATAAAAATTAGCTGGGCATAGTGGTGCATGCCTGGAATCCCAGCTACTCCGGAAGCTGAGGCAAGAGAATTGCTAGAACCAGGGAGGCAGAGGCTACAGTGTGCTGAGATTGCACCAGTGCACTCCAGCCTGGGTGACAGAGCAAGACTATGTCAAAAAAAAAAAGCTCTTAAAATGAAATCTCATCAGGAGTCTGAATATCACAAGTTAAGCAGCTAATTATCCTTGTTGTGCTTTTCTTTTATTGACTTAGCTACCATAAATATATATATATATATATATATATATATATATATATATATATATATATGACCTGAGATCTCACCATGTTGCCTAAGCTGGCCTCAAACTCCTGGGCCCAAGCAATCCTCCCATTTCAGCCTCCTGAGTAGCTGGGACTACAGGCTCATGCCACTTCACTCAGCTAGATACCTTATTTTGACTTAATTTTCCTCGGCAGCGACCATGTCCCTTTATTCTGGACTAAACCAAGAACATTCTCTGCCCTCAGTAGATATTTATCAGCAAAAACATCTACAGATGATCAGAGAGTCTGAATGAGCTGAACTGAATTACTGAGAATTTATACTCTGTCAGGCAGAAGCAGTTTGCAGCAGGACAAGGAAAGGGTCCACTTCACCCTTGAAGACATTCTAGACACTCGCTCAAAATAAACTCAGTCTGAATTATCTGTGCGTACTAGTCTGTTCTCACGCTGCTAATGAAGACACACCCATGACTGATAATTTATAAGGGAAAGAGGTTTAATTGACTCACAGTCCCACACGGCTGGGGAGGCCTCACAATCATGGCGGAAGGTGAATGAGGAGCAAAGTCCTGTCCTACATGGTGGCAGGCAAGAGAGAGCATGTGCAAGGGAACTCCCCTTTATAAAACATCAGATCTCATGAGACTTATTCATGGGATGAGACCCACCCCGATGATTCAACTGCCTCCCACTGGGTTCCTCCCACAACACAAGGAATTACGGGAGCTACAATTCAAGATGAGATTTGGGTGGGGACACAGCCAAACCATATCACTGTGACTCCTCTGTGCAGCCTGTGCTACATGAAATGGGTGTAAGGTGGCCATTGAAGCACCTTTTCTGCTGTATAGATCCCAACTAACACTAAGAAGAAAATGGTTTCTACCTTGCTTTGTTCTCCCAAAGTATGATTTCAACAAATTTATTTCCTTAGAGATGTCCTTGAGGGCCGAAATGTGTACATAATGTACCTGCCAATGAGAATGATGTGCCAGGAACCTACAGAGAGTTGCCAAGCAGGGAGCATGGAGTTCACTTGTATTTGGGTGGAGAGGAGAATGTGGAGGTGGCCCTGAGCTGGTCATTGAAGATGAACAGGATTTTGAAGAGCTGGGAGGTGGGGAGAGGGGGTCGGGGGGTTGGGGGGTGGCGGGGAAGGACATTCCAGGAGGCAGAAAGGTAGCATATGTTAGAGCAGAGGGACGGGAAACACCCGTCTTTTTAACTCCTGGTCACCAATGTCTTGTGTTTCAGAAGAAAGCCAGCCGCCACATAAAAGGTGAAGACAAGAACAAAGCCACCAGTAGGAGCATTGGATTAGACACAACCACATCACAACCTGCAGAGAGCAGACACCCACCTGAGGAGTGCCCCCTTTCTCCCTCCAGGGAATGCTGGACAAAGGAGGGGAGGCTGGCACAGCACAACAGCTTCTCTGGGTTCAGCAGCAGCGACAGTGTCCTCAGGGAATTAGATGACGGACAGTTAGATCAGGAAGATGGAGTGACTCAGGTCACTTGTATGTGAGCCATGAGGTGAAGCAGAGGAAGGCCCTGTATATAATTGTTAAAATCACTGCCAGCTGACCTTATTGTATTACTTTCTCTGCATTTATGTAATATTTTTGAATTTTTCCAGACTCATCCTTTCCTCTAATCTATGTAAACTTTGGCACAACCTCCCAGACAAGGAAGAATAACCAACATATTTATACATTTAGAATCATATTTACACATCTTTCAACTAAAACATCTGGTTAAACAGATGTCCCATTTGGTTACTACATGATAATCTATTTCAGCTTATGAATGTACAAAGTAGACTTTTCTTACAATTCTTGTTAAGGAGACTGAATATCTCAATCAGTGTTTTACCTAATTAGAGAGGGTTCTCAGGAAGTTATAGTCTTATTTAAGCTGAAAAATAATCTCTCTCTCTCTCTCTCTCTCTCTCTCTCTCTCTCTCTCTCTGTCTCTCAAACACATACACACACACACACACATACACACACAGCTAATTAGTGAAATAAATACCTATTTCCCAAATATAATAATTAATCCACATTTTATCTTTAACTATAGCATGTATATACAAAGCAAGTCCCTATATGTTAAAGTATTTTTTGAAAAAAATCTTTTTTATATTGTCTTTGCTTTTAAAGGGTCACCATGTCACCAACCCTGTACTGATTCATTGCAAGTAAACGTTATTCCTCCTAACAACCTAAAAATGCAGACAGCAAAGCAGCATCTCTTAAAATTAAATATGAAAAGAACCCATAATCTCAACACATAAATACCTTAGTAAACAGTAAGATTTAGTTTGTTTACTTTAAAGTGCAAATAGTATGAAGAGGAAAAACATCAATTTCAAGTGGAAGCTGAAGTATTTTACATCAGTCTAGATTTGAATTCTGCTTTTATTGACTTGCTAAATCCCGCAGAATGTTGAAATCTATAATTTTCAATCCAGCAGGAGTAGAAAGATCTCATAGCACATGCAATTTGTATGATAACCTATTTGTTTCATCTTGCTTTTCTTTCCTCTTCTAATAGAGGTGGCTCTGCCTTGACCCAGTCTTTAACAATCTTTAAAATTCTACAAAATAAAGGATTTTCATTTATCTATGAAAGGCTTACTTTGAAAGATGGAATCTTCAAGTGAGTTACAACTTACTCTATCATTGATGAATTCAGCTTATTATCTATTTTTATTAACATTGATGTTGACATTGTAAGATTTTAATAATAAAACATCATTTTTATTGGGTTATTATTTTATTGAACACAAATATTTATATGTTTTGGGTTTTTTGTTTTTTGGGTTTTTTATGGGTTTTTTTTTTGTTGTTGTTTTTGTTTTTGAGACAGTCTTGCTCTGTCAGCCAGGCTGGAGTGAGTGGTACAATCTCAGCTCATTGCAGCTTCCGCCTCCCGGGTTCAAGCGATTCTCCTGCCTCAGCCTCTGGAGTAGCTGGGACTACAGGTGTGTGCCACTGTACCCACCTTATTTTGTATTTTTAGTAGAGATGGGAATTCACCACATTGCCCAGGCTGGCCTCAAACTCCTGAGCTCAAGCAATCCACCCCCGTCAGCCTCCCAAAGTGCTGGGATTATAGGTGTGAGCCACCATGCCTGGCCCTCATGTTTTATAATATAACAGATATATATTACATGTTATTAACTGTACAGTGTATCTAAACTAAGTCAATCTCCATGAACTGCTGATAAAATTAACAGGAATTATTCCACTTTTATTATCCAGAAGTACAGTATAAAAAGGGAATTTAAGAATATTCTGCTCAGTCTTATTCTACAGAAATAGGTATCAACAATATTTGCAGAAATGGTTTTTGACTTTTAGATGGACTTGAGTTCCATAGTCAAAAGTTAGTGGATTTTTGGTAGGAACAATCAATGCTTCCAGAGTCCATGAAATACAATGAAGTTAGGAAGCACAAAAAACAAATCAGAAAGATCCATTTTTCCCAATGCCAGGATCTGTGAGAGGTAGAGACTCCTTTATCATTCAGTCCATATACACAGGGGATTGGAAGCAGTCAATTAAAAAACAGAGATAGAAATTTATATTTGACTAAGAAAAACTCAGAAATATAGCAATAGCTTTTTTTTTTTTTTTTTTTTTTTGAGACGGAGTTTCGCTCTTGTTACCCAGGCTGGAGTGCAATGGCGCGATCTCGGCTCACCGCAACCTCCGCCTCCTGGGCTCAGGCAATTCTCCTGCCTCAGCCTCCTGAGTAGCTGGGATTACAGGCACGTGCCACCATGCCCAGCTAATTTTTTGTATCTTTAGTAGAGACGGGGTTTCACCATGTTGACCAGGATGGTCTCGATCTCTCAACCTCGTGATCCACCCGCCTCAGCCTCCCAAAGTGCTGGGATTACAGGCTTGAGCCACCGCGCCCGGCTTTAGCAATAGCTTTTTTTTTTTTTTTTTTTTTTGAGACAGAGTCTCACTCTGTCACCCAGGCTCCAGTCTCTGCCCACTGCAGCTTCCCAGGTTCAAGTGATTATCCTGCCTCAGCCTCCTGAGTAGCAGGGATTATAGGCATGCACCACTACACCCAGCTAGTTTGTGTAATTTTAGCAGAGATGGGGTTTTAACATGTTGGCCAGGCTGGTCTCGAACTCCTAGCCTCAAGCAAGCCATCCGCCTTGGCCTCCCAATGTACTGAGATTACAGGCGTGAGCCACTGCTCCCAGCCAAGCAATTTGCTTTTTAAAAAAATTCATGTAAGCATACTTTTTCATTTTTTTCTCCCCTCCCCTCTGTTTATTTTTAATGTTATTTCTTCTTAAAATAACTTTTATTAAAATTAACTTACTAGTCTGTCATATCCTCAAAACCTATTTTAGAAACATTGCTCCAACAATTACCCTTATGTTAGGTGATGAATTTGTATGATAGTGAATAATTCATGACCAAGTAGTTTTAGAGCATTTTAAATATGCATAAATAATTCTGAGTCTATTCTTTAAAAAAAAAGAACAAGGCTGGACACAGTGGCTCATGCCTGTAATCCCAGCACTTTGGAAGGCCAAGGTGGGTGGATCACAAGGTCAGGAGTTCGAGACCAGTCTGGTCAATATTGTGAAACCCCGTCTCTACTAAAAATACAAAAGTTAGGTGTGGTAGTGGGAGCCTGAAGTCCCAGCTACTCAGGAGGCTAAGGCAGGAGAATTGCTTGAACCTGGGCGGTATAGGTTGCAGGGAACTGAGATTACACCACTGCACTCCAGCCCGGCCAACAGAGCAAGACTCTGTCCCAAAAATAAGTAAATAAATAAAAGAACAAAACTTGGACTCTCTATGCCTAAGGAGTTAAATGTGTCTAATCTTATCATTACCTGCCAGTTATATATTCAGTTCTTTTTATAACACTGTGGATTTCCTTAGGGGCTCTGGCATGTGAATTTTTAATAACTGTTAAGTTCTAATGAAAGGTATCAAGAGCCTAGATGTGGGGCTGAAGATCTGCCAGTCCCCTTGGTGTACTATCTATGGCATTTTCATCATAGTTTTCAATAACCAAGCAATTAATTCCATTTCCTTTGGATTGAATATCACCCTGTTATCTTTCATGGACACATTTAACACCTACCTAATCATCAGGGAAAGCTCTTATCGGTGTCACTACAATTCATTTCGATGAAAAAGAAAAGGAAAGGTCACCCTCTTTGAGAGATTCTAGGGTTTTTAGGAGGAGGAGAAGCAGGAGACAGCACTACCATCTACTCAAACCACAACTATCTCCAAATCACTTGTGTTATCAGGAGCAGATGTTTATATATTTGAATAAAAGTGTACCAGATGCATTTTCATTTCTTTCATTCTGGAGTGGAGGGGGAGCTGTCTTGTTTTCCTACCCTTGCCTGTTATTGATTCCTCACAGTTCTTGGCTGGAAGGAATGTGGCTCTTTCCCTCCACATATGGCTAAAGAGGATTTCTTTCTCAACTCTTCAGGGCCCCAGAGTAGTACCGTATGGAAAGAGCAAATTCAGATAGAGAGTCAAATGAAGTGAAATTGCTAACAATGGGGACAGTCTATAACTAATTGCACATATATAAAAATTTACTGGTGGATACATAGAAAAACTAGCTAAATGCTCCTCATCAGAACTTGTAACATATCTATTTAAATAACATTTGTTGGCAATCTATCATCCCTTGAGAATGAATTTTATTTGTTTGCAGAACCAGGTCTGCCGGATACTTAAGTTCTGAGACAGTGTTTGAGGTGGAAAATTAGGCAAAACTGTAAAATAATAAGCCTTAGTTGTGATGAGGTTCATAAAGTTTTAGTTGAGATGACTGCAAAAAATGGATTCTAAAAATGTTCTGAGCATTCAAATTATTTTTGTAAAAATATTAACTAAATCAATAGAGGGAATAAATAAATCATTTATGTATAGGATAAATGTGTAAGTATCAAGGTGAGTTTTTTTTTTTTTTTTTTGAGACGGAGTTTCACTCTTGTTACCCAGGTTGGAGTGCAATGGCGCGATCTCGGCTCACCGCAACCTCCGCCTCCCGGGTTCAGGCAATTCTCCTGCCTCAGCCTCCTGAGTAGCTGGGATTACAGGCACGTGCCACCATGCCCAGCTAATTTTTTGTATTTTTAGTAGAGACGGGGTTTCACCATGTTGACCAGGATGGTCTCGATCTCTCGACCTCGTGATCCACCCGCCTCGGCCTCCCAAAGTGCTGGGATTACAGGCTTGAGCCACTGCGCCCGGCCTCAAGGTGAGTTTTTTGGTTGGTTTGTTTGAGACAGAGTCTCGCTCTATCACCCAGGATGGAGTACAGTGGCATGATCTCAGCTCACTGCAACCTCCACGTCCTGGGTTCAAGCAAAATTTTCCTGCCTCAGCCTCCGGAGTATCTGGGACTACAGGCACACACCATCCATGAACACAATAAAGGAGTTTATTTCAAAAGATATCTGGAGGCCAGGTGCAGTCACTCACACCTATAATCCCAGCACTTTGGAAGGCTAAAGTGGGCGTATCACTTGAGGCCAGGAGTTGCAGACTTTTGTTCTACAAAAAATACAAAAATTAGCT